CAGCTGTTTGGTTTGCACATCGAACTATAGAAAAGAGCATATCTCTCGGGTAATCGCGGAATCTATGATTTAGTGGTACCAAACTAGGAACTCTTGAATAATACTAAGGGCTGCCCCAGTCTAGCTAAAAAATGATCACACTCTGTAAAGGTGGCAAGCAATAATTGGGCTGAAATAATCAAAGTCATGACCATTAGCGCTACAGCAGTTTGTGGTCCTTAACATGATTGTGCGCTGCTCAATAGAAGAAGGAATCATGACCAGTTGCTAGCAATTATTACTTTGCCGTTGGTGGCATACTGTTAATGATTGCCTCAGCAATTACCAGCATAAACTCATACCAAAGCTGTCATCACGTTCGTTGGATACTGTACTCGAGGACGTTTGACATCCGGAGAGGAACGAGATTGAGAGCACTGAGACGACTCGTCTATAGAGCGCTTTCGATTGCCGTTGTAGACGGGATCTGAAAGGGACTTCTCGAATACAAATGACCAAGACAACTCACAAACTCATAATATTACTAATTAGCGTACCGATAGGTAAACGTGGCTTGCTCGAGTGAAAGTCTCCGAATGGTTTCGAATGAATGCTATTCACCAACTGATCCCCCATATTAAGCACAGAAACGACACGAGTTAACGCCGGAGCTGCTAAACAGCAAAGAGCTAATCGTTTGCTCACAAGGAATATTTCATAAAGAAGAAGAAAGTAGGTAACAATAAAGGATTTATCGACAAGAAGAAACTAGTGACATAGAACGAAAGTTGCGCAGCGTGCGGATGCATATAGTTATTCCATATTAAGGGCAACGAGTACGAAGCACCAGGGCGTTTCCTAGCCAGCTGACTTCACAACATGTCAACTTGGGCCTGGTGTGAATGCCGCGCATATGATTCAGCACGCCTACTTTGCCGTCCTCCAGCCGCAGTATGGAACTAATGATGTACTTTCAGAACAGGTCACTCTCATAGCCTACGGATCCCTTCGCAGCAATTCAACCGTCAAAGTTTTCCCAGGGATTCAGGTATTTCGGAGAAGCAGGTGGTAGTGACAAGTGGCGCGCTTACCACTCGCGCGGTCCTGGGTTCGAATCCCAGGTCGACTCCCGCCCAGGCCAACCAAGCCTTCTACCCTCCGGGGACGGTAAATTGGTACCAGATTCGTCTGGGAGGATAAAACACTGACTTGTACATCGGCTGGCCACCGCAAGTCATTGTATAGGCCACATCGCATTCAATAAGCCACGATTCTGAATGGAAGTAGAATGCGTGCCGCATCCCACAAAGGGATTGATCAACGGCGAAGACTTTATCCTTTTTTTATCCAGGTATTTGGCGCCAATATGTCCAAGGAAATGCAAATGTGAAGTGAACATGGATTTTGCGTTTTCCGGAAGGCGAACAGAACACATGGATAATGACATCTGAAACCATTCGCTCAAAGCTAGAGCCAACCATTAAACTATTTATGACCAAGAACCCAGTTAGCGCACTTCATGGCTCCAGAAGTAATAGATTACGAGATTGTTTCAGAAATATCAAAAGGAAGCCCTAACTGTTACCTTTTTGGGACTATTCATCAACAGGAAACTCACTCAAAATGAACTTACCCCAAGCAAGACCACCAGTTTTGGCAGCGCATTTCACGTTGGAGAGGCACTCCAGTAACTGGTCAACAAGCTGATCTAGTAGTCCAAATTTATTCATCTCGTTCCAAAATGAGATCGGCTCTGAAACAAAAATAATCGCCGCTGTTCCAGTCATTCTGAAAGGTTACTCGTTGCTCACCGTGGAAGAACCAATCAAAAAATTTGAAGTTACTACTTCTTCATCAGATCTTCTTTTAAGTTTCACTCAAGAGAGATGCAGGTGTCTTCCGTTTGGAGGACTGGTCTCCATAGTCATTCGGGTGGCTTGCGTGGCGTCAAAGTAAACCCAGTTATGTGGTCTACGAGATGCTTAAACTAATCCCTTTCAGCCACATCAGGAGCCGCATGCTATACTGCGCTCAAAGCGGAGCCGGGCAGGCTTTGGCTAAGTATTCTCCAGCGAAGGGATTGTGTCTGTCTGTAGGATGAGGAGGCCGTAAGCGGAGATCCAGCCAGTAACCAACACAAAGGTTTCGCATTACCAACTTAGGAGCGAAAATTGCGCTGTAGAGAGCCCGAATGCGTGAAAAACATCATAAACATCAAAAAATGAGCTTTAGGTAACCGGCTGTAGTTCATAACTTCGGAGGCACTTCGTGGACGCAAATCAGACCCAGCTTAGCTTGTTGACTCAATCTCCTTCCCCCTCAGGTGATCGGGGCATGAGGTTTTTCCACCTTGTGCCTCTCCTGAAACAGCACTTCCCGGGCCCACATATGTTTTTTTTTGCAGCTTTCGGCGCCTTAGCGGTCTGTCCTCTGTCCGTCCACGCAAACGATTTC